GACATAGTAGGTCGGGAGTTTCATTCCCCTATATTAATCGGTACCAGGGATCAAACTGACGACCGCCTGCTTGCAAGGCAGGTGCTTATGCCGCTGAGCTGAATCTTTAGGGACTGAGAGAGGAGAGAGGAGACAACCCTTCTTGTAGCCTCCAGGTAGAGCGCAGGCGTGGAATAGATCTGATTTTAGCCTCTTGAGATCTATTTTAGACCTGTGATTTCTGGAACTTATTTTGTTTGTAATCAATAAGTTTGTGGCTATGTGTTGCAACAGTGCTAAGAAGAAACTAATATGGGGCAAATGCAAAACCTGTAGTTGGATGTGATGCTACACATCTGGGATTCCAGCCCTCCAGGAGGGCAGGATGGGGGAATTAAAGTGAGCTCAAAGGGGCTAGGGATAAGCAGCATAAGTGCCTGCCTGGCAAGCCAAGGTCACGTTTGGTTCCTGGTACTCTCCCCTCCGCCCCAAAAAGAAAGTGAGCCTAGCCTGGGCTGTTTATCACCTTAGTAAGATCTTATCTCCAAAGAAAATTTAAGAAGATCTGGGGATGCAGCTCAGACCTTGGGTTTGATCCACACCAACCTTTTCTAAGTTCTGTAAGATTCAGTCTTTCTCTGCCTAGGCTGTAGCCAAACATGCAAGAGGTGAGCAGCAAGGTCTCCCAACTGGAAACAAGTGTCTCTTGCCTTTATACTGGCCAAGTGTCACAGAGTTCTGGGCCCTTCCTGGCAGGACATGAAGATGGCATAGGCCAGGAAGGCTGTGGTAACAGAGCAAGAGATGAGAGGAGGTCCTAGAGATTCAATGCCTTAGGTGACAAGCGCAAAGAATAATTTTTTTTTTTTTTTGTCTTTTTCGGTACCAGGTATCGAATTCATGACTGCCTGCTTGCAAGGCAGGCGCTTATGCCGCTGAGCTAAATCCCCAGCCCCTTTTTTGGTTGTTTTGAGGTAGGGTCTTGCTTTGTAGTTCAGGTTGGCCTTGAACTCACAGTGATCCTCTTGTCTCAGCCTTTTGAGTGCTGGAATGACAGGTATGTGCCACAATGCCAGGGTTTTTTCTTTTCTTTTCTTTTTCCTTTTTACCGGTACCAGGGATCGAACTCTCGACTGCCTGCTTGCAAGGCAGGCGCGTATGCCGCTGAGCTAACTCTTGGACTCAGTGATTTCCCTGCCTGCCTATCCTCTGCCCCACTCTGTACCTCTTAACTAATTTTTTTTTTTTTAATGGTGCTTTTCTCTCTCTCTCTCTCTCTCTCTCTCTCTCTCTTTCCTTCTTTCTGGATCTTAAACTCAGAGTGATTCTCCTGTATCAGGGCTGATCAGTCTCCTAATCTGTCTAGAAATGGGTATGGCAAGGGATAAAGACAGACTAGTGAGGGCTGGGGATTTAGCTCAGTGGCATAAGCACCTGCCTTGTAAGCAGGCAGTTGTGAGTTCGATTCCTGGTACCAATAAAAAGGAAAAAGACCACAAAAAAAAAAAAAAAAAAAAAAAAAAAGAGAGTAGTTTTTCTCACAGGCCTCGTCAACATAAAGACCCTTGTTAGGATAAAATCACCTTGACCCTGAGTCATCCAATAACCTCCTCACCATTTTCTTCAGTTAATTGAGGTTTTGGCTACCTCCTGGAGGCCTTCTATTCCCTGTGGACAATTTGTCATCCTAGTACCCAATTGCACTGACATGTTCTTTCTTTTTGAAATGTGCTTGCCCTGTAACACCTGCATATTGGGACCCACTGTGAAATCCCTAATAGTTTTTTTTTAAAATCAAAATAGCAATATCGAGCCGGGCGTGGTGGCTCAGGACTGTAATCCCAGCACTTGGGAGGCTGAGGCAGGAGCATCCTTGTGAGTTCGAGACTAGGCTGGGCTACAAAGTGAGCTCAAGGCCAGCCTGAACTGCATAGAAAGACCCTGCCTCAAAAGACAACAACAACAAAAACACCACACAAAAAACCAAAATACCAGTATCATTTTTCATAAAAATTAAGTTTTCTTTGTGTGTGTGTTTGTACTGGGAAATGAACTCTTGCCAGCCAGGCAGGCTGGCAGGCACTGTGCTGCTGAGCTATATTCCTGGCCCCACTACAGTCTTTTTTTTTTTTTAACCATCAAACCCCTAATAGTCTCCAGCTGATGAAATCTTGCTGTGGGGCATCAAGGCATTATGGGGTCGTTGAGTGTGACTGGAGGTACAATTATTTCCATGTAACATAACTGGCTCCCATGGCAAGATGATGGCCTCAAGACAGGCCCTAATCACAATTTAAATTATAAATTTTTTCCCCAAAGATTATATAGAATGACCCTCAAGACTTTTTTTTTTTTTTTTTTTTTTTGACCCTCAAGACTCTTGCCTTAGCCCTCCAAGTGCTGAGACTACAGGCATGGATCAATGCTAGTTTGTTTTTGATGGGGGTCACAGTTCTGTAGTTCCAGGCTGGTCTTGACTTCGAGGGATCATTTTGCCTCAGCTTCCCAAGTGTTGGGATTATGGATGTATGCCACCTCCCCTCCTAGTTTTATTGGTCAACATCGTTTTACATAAAGAACTCAATCTTGAGCAACAAAACGTAATTGTGAAAAAGTTTGCAGTTCTTATATCACTTTCCTGTGGCTACAGTAACACCACCTTGGTGGCCAGAAACAAGTGGAATTCAAGGATCTGAGGGCCTGGCACTGGGATGTGGAACACCTTGGTTGAGCTGCCTTGTGCTACATCACACCTCAAGAGGTCCTTCCTTCCCCCTTTCTTATGTGACATATTTTTGCTCCTTTAAAAATTAGCCCTGCAAGGTTGGAAATGCAGTTCAGTGGCACAGTGCCTGCCTGGCAAGTGCAAGGCCCAGGGTTCATTTCCTGGCACAAAACCAAAAATTAGCCCTGTAGATTAACACGTTTTAGGCAGATGTGGACATACACATAGCATGCCTTGGCTCACCCTCAGCTCCTCTGTGACCGTGGGGAACAGCTGTCAGGTGTTTCCTTAGGTCACAAAGAAGGCCCTAAACTTGCCATTCTTGGGCTGCCCCCAACTCACTCCACTCCCCACCCTCCCCAGGTTTTCTTCCTCCTACTATTATTTCTGGCTGAATGAAATGCCACACTACTACGTGGGTTGGGGAAGGGCTGTCTTGCACTCCGTACTGTTTAGCTGCACCCAATTCCACTAGAATTCTCAGGGCCACCAGAAATACCTAGGTATTGCCACTAGTTCTCTAGTGGATAAAAAACCGCACCTGGCAAAGAATCATTTTATTTAAAATCTTCCTCACTCACCCCCCTGGCAATGGGCAAAGAGCCACCTCATTGGTGGTGGTGTCTTTTTCCTTTTAATCGGTATGAGGGATCAAATCTTCTATCAGTCAGGGGCAGTGTAGACAACAGCTTGTTGTTCATCCTAGCTTGATGCCTGGTTGGTGGCCAGAGCTGTTTCATGCTTAGGACACATGATCTAAAAATTGAAGTTTTTTTTTTTTTTTTTTTTTTTTTTTGGTCTTTTTCCTTTTTATGGGTACCGGGGATCAAACTCACGACTGCCTGCTTACAAGGCAGGCACTTATGCCGCTGAGCTAAACCAAATCATTTTTTTTTTAATCTTTATAGGTACCAGGGATCGAACTCACAACTGCCTGCTTGCAAGGCAGGCGCTTATGCCACTGAGCTAAATCCTCAGCCCCAATTGAAGTGTTTTTGACAGGATCTTGGTAACATTGAGATGTTGTCCTGGCTGGGCTTGAATATTTCCTGCCTTAGCCTCCCAGACTGCTGGGCTTAAGAGGTATGGGCCATCATGCCTAACTAGTCATATGTAGAATTGACAATGTAGGGAAAAGTGTGTTGGCTCTTTAGAAATAACAGGAGACCCAAAGGGGGCCTAATGCAAGAGCTGAAACCACTGCTCTCCAACTAGGCCATGCCCAAACTTGCCTTTTGGGTCACTTCTACACACAAAAGGTTTCACTGGCTTGAATATCTTTGTACAAGTCTTACGTAGATGACCACGTTATTTTAAACTTCTCGTCTTCAGGTCAAGGCCTTCTTGGCTGATCCTATCTCCATTTGTGGCTGCTGCCCCTGTCACTGCAGCCACCACTGCTACTCCTGCCCCAGCCAAGGTTGAAACCAATAGTCGGAGGAATCAGATGAAGATATGGGATTTGGTTTTTCACTGATCACCAAAAAACAAACTCTACTCAGCCTGCCTCATTGGCAAAGCAAGGAATAAAAGCATAATTCTTTTTTATCAGCACCGGGGATGGAACTCATGACCACCTGCTTGCAAGGCAGGTGCTTATGCCGCTGAACTAAATCCCTAGCCCCAAGCATAATTCTCTCATAAAAAAAGTCTCTCACTGGTGTACTTTTCTCCACAAGGGCACCAAACGATTGAGCCCACAATGGCTTTTTTGGTACTGGGGATTGAATTCACAACCTAGGGCTTGCCAGGCAGGTACTTCTGCCGAGCTAAATTCCTGGGCCTTGTCTTTTGGGTTAGGCATAGTTTGCTAGGCTGCAGACATTCCAGCCATAAACACAAGGAATGAGATAGCAAGACTGGAGTACTGGCTTTGACACAGTCCCTATCCTGGGGGTGGAGGATGAAGACTAATCCATAGCCCATATCCCACTGAGACAGACCTGTCAAGTCTTGAGTTGAATCTCCCCCTCAAAAGATGGGCTCAAGGGCCTGGGGATTTAGCTCAGTGGCGTAAGTACCCTGCCTGGCAAGTGCAATGTGGTGAGTTCAAAGATAGGCTCAGCGCTACTGTCCTTGGGCTATTCTCATTTACAAAAAAATCCAATCAGGCAACATGTGCAGGTGATAACAGGTTATTTTACTGCCACATCATGCTGATACTCCTGGGGACTGGGAAAGGGAACCACTACAAATTGCTATGCCAAGTTTGACAAAGCTCAGGAGTAAACTATTGGAGTTCAATCCCAAGTCAGTGCCTATGTGGAACCACCCCAAAGCAAAGACCACACAGGAATGTTGAGCAAAATTTTATTAGTGAGACTAACTATATGCCAAGTTCAACAGCCAGGGAGAAATTTTGTTTCCAAGACTTGGGACACCTGCAGAGAAGGAAAAAAAGCTCATTGACTACTGGGGGGATGGTGGGAGAATGTTTATAATCCGGTTCACTAGGGGCTATGCTTTAGATCAATCAACAAAATGTCTACTTCTAGGCCAGCACTGATTAAGACTGAAGTTTGAACAGACACCTACCATTTGTATATACTGTATTTTCCAGAGACCTGGAAAAAATAGAAACCAACCACATTTCAGCAACTGAGGAATCTTTCTTTCATTGTATTAAGAAAATTTGATGATCCCTCAGACAGTTCCTTCTAGAACTAATTTTCCTCTTTTCCCCCAGCCAGCCCCAGTGGGTTCACCTTTACAGGCTCTGGGACTAGGACAGGAAGTAAGACTCGTGACTATTTCATCACTGGGAAATTTTAGCTTAATTCACCTTGTATGTACATTCACCTCTCACCTTAGAGCAAAGAAAAATGGGTTGCAGCTGGGAATGGTGGCACTGCCCGTTATCCCACTCTGGAGACTGAAGCAGGATTGTCATGAAGTCAAGGCTTGTTTGTATGGCATAGGGAGATCTCGTTTTGAAAAGCATGGTTAACTTTTTCTGTAAAGAGATTGTGAGTAAAGTCTCAGTGTTGATTTCAAGGGATACATATATAAATCATTGCCTAGCTCCCTAAATTACTGATTACAACCTTATTTGTTAACTTTCTGTTATTGAAGTAAGCTCAACTCAGAAAATACCTTTCTGTCACAGTGATCAGACTGGGGCGGTATTCAATTCATCCCTGGTGAGCAGTATACTCCATTATTCGTTCAAAGTTGGCCATGAGGGCCAGAAGTGCCACCACACCCACACAAGAAATCAGGTTTTGTATGGCAGCATTATAAAGATCTCACCTGAAATCATTCCTAGCCTCCAAATATGATGCTGGATCTGAAATGCACAAGATTATGCAAGTCAGTAATGCTTACATGCTGTACAGTGACCTTAACTATTATCCTTGGAGAAATCAGATTTCCAAGTCTCAACAGCAAGCCTTCAGCCGAACGAGATTCCATGTAAGTCATCACACAGCCCCAAAGAGGCACTTCTCTTACCCAATATTTGGCACACACCGAACATACACCAAAATCACTCACCTTTGAATCATGTAGGGTGCTGGGGACACCCTACTTTGTCTTTTCATAACTGGTCCTGAGGAATTCAGTTACTACCCAGGATGAATACAGGTAATTTTCCTGAGAAAAGACAAAACTGGTTTTTTACATGGTTCTTCATAACCCTTGTCATTCTTCATTGTCATACCCCAGTTTCTCAGGTGTTCATGTGTTTTCATAGTTAGTCATAGTGAGCTAGTTAAATTCATCATGGAAACTGGCTACTTGGTTAGACAAAAACCAAAATCCTCAACTCACCTGAATGGCAGGCAATTCCCAGTCATACAGGGGAACAAGCTGCTCCTGAATCAGAGAATCATTTATTAGCAAAGTATCTCAAAGTGACAGAACTAGTACTCTAGACAATGTTACTAAACAGCAAAATAAAGTTACATTTTCTAGGTGTAGAAACATTTGCTATACTGGACAGCCTTTCATGGAACATATTCATCCTCCTCCACAGAAAACTGAAGTAGGCTCACCATTCTAGGCTCCAGAGTGAGACGGGGTGTTTGCTCCTCACTGGCACTGCAAATACTTAGCACTTTCAACTCTTTTCAAGAGTTGAGTCTTCAGACCAGCTGGCATCTAGTAAGGGGAGAGCAACAAAGGTCACAAGGAACAGGAGAAATCAACAAAGCTGTGCCTCCATCAGCGATTTGCTGTACTATGGATAATGGGTTCATGTAACTTAGAACAAAAAAACAAGATAAACCACTTACCTTTGGATGGAAAAAAATTATCAGGACAACCTGGGAAAGAGAAAATGAAAGATTACTTTTAAGTGTTAGGGACAAAAAGACCCATGTATTCATTACCAAAACTGCCATCAGAACTCTAACATGCTGTAACGCCACTTCACAGTGCATCAGGTCATAGATTCAAATCATCTGACAGTATTGAGGGAAGAGCACACCATCACAAGAAGCAACTGTACTATGGGACTGTTTTCTCCCAATGATCACTTCAAGAACAAGGTGGAAAGAGCAAAATGGCCAATGCTCTTCTGATTATTCACTCTCGGGACTGTGTTTATATTCAAGACATAAAATAACCCAAGCCCTCACTTGAAAAATTACCTGTATTCATCCTGGGTAGTAATGGAATTCCTCAGGACCGGATTTGAAACGCTAGAGACAGAAGAAGGCATTGCTCATACTTCAGAATAGATCACCTTTTTTTTGGGTAATGGTTATTGGAACTCTCGACCACGTGCTTGCCAGGCAGGCGTTTATGCCACTGAGCTAAAATTCGACTCTGAAAACTGCTCACTTCTCAGCATTAAAATGACATCACTCAGGACTCAGCCATATGCTTGTCATTTCTATTCATCATCGAGTGGCCTTCAAAGCTCCCTCATTACATAAACCATGCACCCACCTGAAGCACTGCTCCACGAGTTAGCTCACTCCTTGTGCAAAAGGATGGATCTTGTTTCATTTTCCAAGCTCTTTTGAACTGAAATGCAACTGAGAAAAAGAGCACCCTTTACTAAAGCCTCAGCCTGAAGAGAAGGCCCAGAACCCTGCAGACGATGCTACTCAGAACTTTTGCTTTCTCCATTTAGCCATCAGAAAGAGAGAGTTCAGTTCTCACTCATCCCTGCAGCACATCCCAGAGGCCTTGGAAAGTCAGGGAGAGTCACATTGCTTACCCGGAGACAGCGGTCTCTGGCTCCAGAGATCAAACGCGGCCCCAACCCTGCAGATAAAAGTCTCGAGATTAGCACTATGCATTTCCCGCGCAATGGCTGAATGGGCCACTGGCCGTTTCCTCAGAGAGAGTCGTCCTCATTGGAGGTCAGCACAGGTCTGTGAAGTCCTCATCACAGGGACGGCCACCCGCACACCACCCACCACTGCGCCGGCCATTTTGTTCTTCACGTCTCGCCGTTCCAAGTTAGACCCGGATTAGACCTCTCCAGTGACACTCCCTGGAGAGTGTACCACAGGGAGGAGGTCCAGAGAGCGTTACGCTCTTAAGTTCATTTAATTAATTAAAGCACCCAAAAAGCCACCTACCACACATACTCACCAGCAGCTACAATAAAATGAGACCTCGTGTACGGCGGAGAGCCACTTAAATAGCACCCCGCGGAGGCCCACGGGACTTTTAGGCGGGACTACATCATGCGCATGCGCATTCAAAAAATTAAGCGGTGAGAATTACAGGTAGAAAATTTCCGGGCAGGCTTTCAAACATACCACCCATAAACGTGAGGCGGGAGAAGGCGCGCATGCTCCCTGCCCAAAGCTTGCGGCTGGTAGAGGCGCGCATGCGTCCTTTGTTTTCTCCTGGTGGGGCGGGTGCGGGGACTGCAGTCTAGCCCCGGCTTCTGCGCCCTTTCTAGGCTGAGTCAGCGAGGAGCCCCGCTGCCATGGACCCCGCGGAGCTCGAGCTCCCGACCGATGCCCAGGGCCCGCGGCCGCCTCCGAGCGCGCTCTCGGAGCCCGACGCGCAGGTTCACAGCGCGGGTGGCGACTCAGGTAGGGCCGGGCCCCGGGGACCGCGGTTGGTGCGTCCTCCTCCCAGGCCCGGCTGAACTCCGTCGCGGATCCTGCCTCGAGAAAGAGTGGGGTCATCAACTCTGTAGACAAGGGAACTGGGGCCCGAGACCCACCCGCGCCGGGCAGCCACTAAAGGGAACCTGCGTGCCACACCTGGGTAAACACATGCATGGCGCACGCCCTGCTGAGCAGGGCCAATACCCGGAGAAGGCGAAGTGGTGACGCGGGGACTGGCGACCTGACTGGTGTCGCCCCGCGCCATGAGTCGGATCCCATCTAGTCTGCCGGCCTGCGCCTCCTAGGTCCCAAACAATCAGCTCACGCTGCTTCTTAGCCTTGTTCATGGTTACCCTGCCCAACCTAGGAAGCACCTACCCCGAGATTTCAATGACAGATGCACATGTACTGCATACATGCATACATACATACATACATACTTGGTTATGTGCAGAACCAAAGCCCCCGTGTCCCGGCCTTGTTTTGAGACAGTGCCTGGCTAGTAGTCCAGGCTGGACTTGTGCTCTCTGGTAGCTCCAGAATGGCCTCTATCTCGGCAGTCCTCCTGCCCCAGTCTCCCGTGTGCTGGGATTACATGTATGCTCCGTCATAGGGCAAGAGGCCTTTTTTTAAGAGCCGGGATTTACCAGATCCAGCAATTATTTTTCACTCCACGGCACCAATATTGTTCCTGAGCATACTCCACGGTGATGTACTGTATTATACATAATTACTGATAGAATTGCAGTTTGAATTAAGTTATTATCGACTGGAATAAATCATTCATTTAATAACTGTTTGTTCCTTGCATGATACAGCATTTTAGGGAAAAGATGATAAAAACATTTTGTCCTAAAAATGGTTTGGTTGGGGTGATAAAGAGTCCCTGTGATCCCAGCACTCAGAAAATGAGGCAGGAGTGTGGAAAGTTGGAGGCTGTAGAGTTTGAGGCAGCCTGGAGTACATAGCAAGTCACTGTCTTTAAAAAAAAAAAAAAAAAGCAAAACGAAAAACAAGGAAGAAAATAAAGTCAGGGTTAAGAGTTTGAGTATATAAAAGAAAGGTACAGGTACAATTTCTGAAAGATGAGTTGAAGGGGAGTGGTTCAATATAAAACTGGAAAAGATTTCCAGAGGGTACTAGATGCAGGCCTGGAATGGAAAGCTAAATAATTTGAATTGTATATGTGAGAAAGGAGCCAGTGAAAAAAAATTTTTTTTGAGACAGGGTCTCTATGCAATTCAGGCTGGCCTTGAACTCACTTTGTAGCCCAGGCTGGTCTTGAACTTGCAACAATCCTCCTGCTTTAGCCTCCTGAGTGCTGGGATTACAGGCGTGAGCTACCACACCCGGCTGCCTTTTTAAGTAAGGAGGCAATGAGAAATTGGGGCTTAAGCTGGGAACAGGAATGTTAATTAGATTGTCACAGTTTAGGCAAGAGATCAGTGGGTTTGGAAAGGCAGGGACTTATGTCATGGGTGTTTAATTTATGCAGTTACAGACATCAGGCAGGTAAAACAGGTTAGTGAAGCAAACAGTACAAATGGTGAAATGAAGAGCTCTGTTTTTTGGTAAAATTACTGGTTGTGCTTATGTGCTTTTGGTTGTTACTTTTTTTTTGTGCTTAGGAGTTTCTTAAACAGGAAAAAAATCTTAAATGTGTTAAGGTAACATTAAAAGTTTGGTGGGAGCTAGGCATAGTGTCACACACTCATAATCTTAGCACTGTAGGTGGCGGGCTGGGACAGATAGGATTGCAAGTTTGAAGCAGCCTGGGTAACTTATTGAGACTGTCTTAAAATAAAAATGGCTAGAAAATACACTCAGAGTGAAAGCCCTGGACTGAAACTTTAGTACCCCCACAAAAAAATTTTGGTGGAAGGGGCTGGGGATTTAGCTCAGCGGCATAAGTGCCTGCCTTGCAAGCAGGTAGTCGTGAGTTCGATCCCCGGTACTGATAAAAAGGAAAAAGACAAAAAAAATTTTTTTGGTGGAAGTAATTCGAATTTCATTATACAGAGAATTTTGGATGATGTTTCAGCCCCAGTTCACTGACTGCTAGGATAGTTAGGGACCAATTTGCTCTTGGGCTGGCCCTTTGTGCAAAGAGCAATCCTGCTCCCACCTGGCAGCAAGAGGCATTGCAGTCTGGAGTGGGATTGAACAGAGTCAGCACTAAAGGCAGTCCTGGGAGGAGAGGCCATCTGTGCATAAAACTCCTTGGTGCTGGCTGCACAGCCAGCATTTTGCCAACGCTGAGCTCCCACTCTGTCACTGAGGCCTCCCCACCTTCCTTTTGCAGTGCTGGGGATTGAATCTAGGGGTGTTCTGCCACAGAGTTACACTCTCAGCCCTTTTTATTTTTTGAGATAGGGTCTGGCTAAATTGTTCGGGTGGGACTTGAACTTTTGATCTTCCTCTTCAGGCTTCCTTGGTGCTGGGATTATAGGTGTACAATGCTGGACTGCCTTTATATTTTTATATTATTATGTTTGGTTTTTGAGACGGTGTCTCACTACATAATTCAGTCTGCCCTTGATCTCACTATATAACTCAGGCTGGCCCCAAATTCTCGGGGATCATTCTGTTCCAGTCTCCCTCAGGGCTGGGATTATAGGTATGTAACACTGGGCCTGGTTTGTATTTTTATCTTTAAATGGTATGTAATAACAGCACATTTCTGCGCCAGTTTGCTAATAGGGTTTTTGGGTCTTGTGGCACAGGACCAGATAGGTCTCTGGGGTGTGAGCCTATGGAGGATGATGAGACTGGGGTGGGTGCTGCTGTGTTTGTAGCCCTGAGCAATGAGCTTTGATGCTGGGAGTGAAGGGCTGAGGGGAAGCTTGTACTTTTTTTTTTTTTTCTACTGATACAGGGTCTTGCCCTGCATTTCAGGCCGGCCTCAAACTCACTGTGTAGCCCAGGCTGACCTTGAACTTGTAGCAGTGTTCCTGCCTCAGCCTCCTGAGTGCTGATATTATAGCCCTGTGCTACCATGCTTGGTGTCTTTTTTTGAACTAGGAATTGAGCCAAGGCCTTCACATTGAGCTACAACCTCAGATTTATTTATTTCTTATTTAGGTTTTTTGAGATAGTGTCTTGCTAAATTGTCCAGATTGGACTCAAACTTTCAGTCCTCCTGCCTCAGGCTTCCGAAATGCTGGAATCATGGACATGTGCTATTCGTGTTTTTTTTTGTCTTTTTCCTTTTTATCGGTACCGGGGATCCAACTCAAGACTGCCTGCTTGCAAGGCAGGCGCTTATGCCGCTGAGCTAAATCCCCAGCCACCGCTATTTGTGTTTTCATGAACCTTACCTAACAGGAGAGAAGATGAGAAGGCTAAGGCTGTAACTGGCAAAAAAGTGGTAATCATTCATCTTAACCGGGACAGGGAGATGCTTGGTTGTTATTTTTGTGCTTTGGGCCATGATTATGTTGTTGTACATGGTTACAACATGATTATGTAAGAATCTTATTTTTGTCTTGAACTGTCCTGGTCGCAAGTGGCCTTGTCTGATATTGATGTTCTCTGAAATTGTTTATGTTCACCCTGGGTCTACCAAGGTCTAGCTATGAGTGCCACGCCAGCCTGTAGCAAGCCAAAGGCCTCACCTTATCTTCAGCTCCTGTGCCTACCACATACCAATTCCCAGCCTGGCTCTCTGGGCTCTGCTCCATCCCTTCTAATCTGTTACCTACCTGTAGCCAGAGAGATCTAGTGAAGAAGCTGAATGGGTCTCATTTCTCATCTCCTACCTCTAGATGCCTTTGCTGTTGAGGTTGAAGTTTGTACCTTTTGACAGAACCAAGTGCTATTTGTTTCTCACTAGGATCCATTGATCACTATGTTACGTTTTTGTTTTTGTTTTTTGTTTTTGAGACAGGGTCTTGCTATGTAGTTCAGACTGGCCTTGAAGGGCTGGGGATTTAGCTCAGCGGCATGAACACCTGCCTTGTAAGCAGGCAGTCGTGAGTTCGATCCCCGGTACCGATAAAAAGGAAAAAGACAAAAAAAAAAAACAAAAAAAAAAAAAAACAAAAACGAAAAAACAAAAAACAGACTGGCCTTGAACTCACTTTGTAGCTTGAGCTGGCCTCAAACTCACAGTGATCCTCCTGCCACACACTCCTGAATGCTGAGATTACTGTCATGCCTCAGCACACCTGGCAGATTGTAGGTGTGTACCCCAGGCTGGGCTCAAACCCGCAGTCCTCCTGCCTCAGCCTCCTGAGTGCTGGGGTTACAGGTATATGTCACCATCCCTGGCTTTGGCTACATTTTTGATTTGTAGTTTTGTTTGTAAAACACATCTAGGATAGTGAAGGTGTGGCTCTGATACAGTACTGGACAAGTGCCCAAAGCCCTGAATTCAATTCCCAGCCCAGCAAAACAAAAAAGATGCTAAGTGTCCATATCTTGGTTTCAATAAAAGGAGCCAGGGACCTGGGCCCTGCACAGCTGTCATCTCAGCACTTTGGGAGCCTGAGGCAAGTTGATTACAGGTTTGAGCCCAGCCTTGGTAACTTAGTGATTTAGACCTACTGAAGAGTCCACATTTGATGTTTTTTGTTTTTAGTTCTGGGAATTGAATTTAGGACCTTGGGCATGCCAGGCAAGTGCTGCGCCACTGAGCTAAATACCCAGCCCACATTTGACATTCTTTTGTACTCTCAAAATCAAGTTTTAGCAACACTTTTTTTTTTTTTTTTTTTTTTGGTACAGGGTCAAACTCAAGACCTTGTGCTTGCCAGGCAGACGCTTGTGCCACTGAGCTGTATCCCCAGCCCCTTAGCATACTTTGGGAAACAGTTTTGTCCATATTAAGTCTGTAATTAACTGATAGGGTGATTGGTTCGACTCTTACCTGTCTCCATCCCCTTTACACTGAGCTATAGTCCCAGTGCTTTTATTATTTGTTTGTTTGTTTGTGTTGCTGGAGATTAAATTTAGGGCTAGGCAAGTGCTCAGCCACTAAGCTACACGCTAGCTCTCTTTTTATTTTTCTCTTTTAAGTTCTATGGCAGGGTGTCTTGCTAAGTCATTAAGGCTGGGTGTGCCACCGTGCCCTGGTGTTTATCTCTTTGTATTTGATTTCACTGGAGAGGATGACTTGTTGAAGTGTTGTTTACTGGCTCTTACTTGAGTATCAGTTACCTTTCTTTATTGAGAAATACCTTATTGAATGTTTCTACTCTTCCTGGCCCTTATGCTCCTTTGTGCTGCACACACTTTTACTGCAATGAACCAGACAGCACTGTTCTTTAGCAGCCAGGGTCCTGCAGGGTCCCGTCCTGTGCTCTTCTGCAGCACAGCCCTGCAGATGACTTCACCAGATGAGCCTGGGCCTGGCCTCTTCTTCTGCCTTTACTACGGCCCTACCATGCCTCAGATCTTCAGGACTTACAGCATTGAGGGCAGAACCTGGGCTCTGTTTCTGGCCTGGAAAAGAGGAACCTGTTGGACAGGGACTCCTTGGGTTCTACCTGCTCTCCCCTTAGCCTCTGGAAGTCCTTTTAACCTAGGGGGAAGAGGTAATAGGGCTCACATGCTGGAAATATGTGACTCAGCTCCCTGTCTCAGAGTCAAGAAAAGGCCCTTCACAGGCTCCAGTGTAGGGCTGCTTCTCTGCCTGCTGGGGGTGAAGTTGCTCAAGAGTCTTTTCGGAGGTTTGGTTGCTTTTACTTTGCTTTGTTCTAACTTCTTGATAAATGGTACACTTTGCATTCTTCAGTAAATATCGTTTCATATTCTTCAGCACCTTTGGCCCCTTTGTCTAGTCTGGTTTTCCTATCCTTCTTCTAGATTTATTCCTTGGGGTACTATTAGGGATGGAACCCAGAGCCCTCACACTGGGTTACATCTTTAGTTCTTTTTCTGTTTTCTTTTGGCAGAGGATCTTGCTCAATTGGTAAATTGCCCAGGCTATATTTGAATTTAAGATCCTCCTGTTTCAGCCTCCCAGAGTGCTGGGATTACAGGCATGGCATGCCATGCCTGGGTAGAAATAGTTTCATTTTGACCCAACAGTGTTGTTTATGTTTCTTTTCATTGTCATCCTTGAACCTTTACATACTCCTTCGTTTGTCCAGTTGTTTCTAGGAAGGGATATGTATGTCACTTAGCCCCTATGCAGTGGCTGCTGTCTGCGCAGACAGATTCAGCAGCAGCATCCCAGCCAGGAACCAAAACGGACAGGATGCCAGTTGGGATGGGGTGACTGCACTCGTGTCACTGGTCTTGGCTGGGGAAAGTTGAGCTTGTGTGAGGTCTTGAGTCTGAGCAGGAAGGACCTGGCCCCAGGAGTGCTGTGTGGCTCGGGCCATGCCCTGCCATGCTGAGGGTTCTGGGAGGCTGCGGAAGGAATCATCCAGCTGACCTGGAGCTACAGCTGTGAGGTGCTTTGCTTTGAAGGAGAGCTTCTGGTCCCAGCCCTTGGCCTTGGCTTGTCCCAGAGGGTGGGTGTTTGTCTGTGTGAAGGGAACCTGGGCTCTTATCACCTCTGAGCATTGGTGTGGGGCACAACCTCTTACCTACTGGAGCTGTTCTCACTCTTCTGGGGGGATGGGGAGGACCCGTGGGGTGCAGAGGGCAGAAACAAGCCTTTTAATACCCCTTTTTTTGCTGTTACCTCAGCCCCTGGCTTCTACTTTCTGGCTTCCAGCCTAGGTGGGTCAAGAAAGATCCTGTTCCTTCAGCTCCTCTCTGAAAATAACCCAGGGGCGCTGCCCAGGAACAAGGAGTCCCTGAGCCTGTTGGCACCTCCTGGTGTTGATGTCCGGTTATTTCTGCCCACTTGTCCTGTGTCTGCCAGACTTCTGTGGAAGCAGCAGGGAAGTCTGCAGGCTGTTTCAGGGCCAGGTGCTCATAAGGCCTAGCTGTGACTGGTGGAGTTCAGGAAGTGGGAAGCTCTGCAGGGTGGAGTCTTGCAATCTGTGTGGGAGGGGAGAGGTGGCTGCTTGCACCCCAGCTCTGGGTTGTTGGTGGCGGCCCCTAAACACATGATGTCTCATTCCAGCAAGGAAGGCAGGCTGGTGCCTGCATCTGGGGGTGTGGTTGGGGGTGAGGGGGTGAGAAAGGGTCCAGGCTGACCCTCCTAGTCACAGGGAAGACTGGTATGAGCAGTCAGAAGCTGCTGCCAGGAGAGCCAGGATGCAGCTGGATGAGACAGCTAGGCTCGTCCTATATGCTGGTGGCCCAGGCCACCGGGTGCAATGGTGTCGCAGCGACCACTAGCAGTGGAGAGGAGTAGGACCTGGAGGAGCTCGGAGACTCAGGTGGGACAAAGCAGAGCCTGGCCTCCTAAAGGCAGCTCCAGGCACAGCAGTTTTAGAGTGCAGGGTGACTGGCACTTTTTTTTGTTTGTTTGTTTCTTGAGACAGAGACTCCCTATGCAGTTCAGGCTGGTCTCAAACTTGCAACAATCCTCTTGCCTTAGCCTCCCTTAGCTGGCATTACAGGCGTGCGCCACCAAATGCGGCAAGGATGTCAATTTTGAGCCCACTCTAGGAAGCACAAATTAAAAAACCAGGGCTTCCGGAGGTCAGAGGCTGCCGCAGGAGCCGCCCTCTGAGCGGGTGGGGCGGGTCAGAGGAGTTGCCGCCTGGGGACCAGGCTTGGCCCGAAGTGGTGGGGGCGGGGCCAACTGGGTTCCCTTCCGCTTTCCGCCTAGCTGGCCGCACACTCGGACAGAGGCGCGGCGCGAGCTCAGTCCTCAGCCAGGTCCGTCCCCAGTGCTGTGTGTGTCTCGGCCCTCAGGGACTATGAGCCACGACACCGAGATAGACATGAAGGAGGTGGAGCTGAGCGAGCTGGACCCTGAGAAGCAGCCGATGGCGGCGGGCGCCGAGAAGAACGGGCTGGTGAAGGCGGCCGGCGGCACGGAGCCGGCGGTCAGTGCCAAGTTCACGGGGCTGAGCAAAGAGGAGCTACTGGCGGCCGCAGGAGGCCGCGGCTGGGCGCGCGCTCGCACGGCGCTGCTGCTGCTCTTCTGGCTGGGATGGCTCGGCATGCTGGCAGGCGCCGTGGCCATCATCGTGCGGGCGCCACGCTGCCGCCCGCTGCCCACGCAGTCTTGGTGGCACCGCGGCCCGCTCTACCGCGTGGGCGACGCTCGCGCCTTCTTGGGCGGCGCAGGTCAACTGGAGGGTAAGTGCGCCCAGTGTGTCCTGACCCCGGTGGGACCCTCACTTTCCTGCGCGGCCGATCACCACCTCTGGCTATTCTCTCCTTTTCTCTAGAGGAGGCTGACTCAGCACACGCCTTCCTTGCATCAGCTCCCGATGCCTCGTGACCCGGCTGGGCGTGGAGGAGGGGTTGGGCGCTCGAGGCTTTCTGGTTAACGTGCCTCTCTTACAGATCTGCAGGGACACCTGGAGTACTTGAGCACCCTGAAGGTTAAGGGCCTCGTGCTTGGGCCCATTCACAAAAACCTAAAGGATGATTTGGCAGGGACCAACCTGCAGCTGATCGACCCGGCTCTTGGTTCCCAGAAAGACTTCAACAGCTTCCTCCAGGTGGCCAAGAAAAAGAGTGAGTTGCCCGGCTTGCCCAGGCAGGGCCAGTGAAAAAGGGTTTGGCCTTTGGCCAGAGGAAAAGGAGGCTCGGATTCTTGTGTGGTGTGCTGCTAATGGGCTGTGGGTTGTCCTGTGCAGGGATCTGTGAGACTTTGGCCTAAAAAGTAGCTCAGGTGCTTTTCTGTTGGGCTGGACAGTCTTGAACCAGTCAGTTTAACTTTTGGGTTTTAGTGTTCGTATTTTATTAAATCAGCGGACAGCTTCATTCCCACAGCGGGTTTTAAACTTACAAAAATGGTTGATCCTTTTGGGCAAGGGGGTGGGACCCCAAATACTGCCTCACAGCCCACCACAGAAACACAGAGCCCCATAGCGCAGCCTCCTGTAGCGCGCTGCAGTCCTTGCCTGGCTTTGGCAGGGTTTGGATCCAGTCATACACTGGAAACTCAGCAAGCTTTTGTTTGAGTACCTCACTTCCCTTCTCCTCACTGTTCAGGCATCCATGTCATCCTGGACCTCACTCCCAACTATCAGGGCAAGAACTCCTGGTTCCTCCCTGAGCAGGCGAACGCAACGGCCACCAAGGTGAAGGTGAGTGTGCCAGGCACTCAGGCTACCTGAGGAGGTCCTTTGCCTGCTGTGAACTCTGTGCCCCCAGCCTGGCTCCCAAGAACAAGAGCAGGAACCCCTCTTCCTGCAGCCGGAAGAATAGACTTTCAGAGACCCCTGTGTTTGTTTCTTTTCTGATCTCTCATTTTTCTTGTTTCCTTGACTTGGGGGGGGGGGGAAGGCGCCAGGAAGGGAATTTGTCAGATGTCCATCTGTAAGTTTGATTTTCCTTCTTTTTGGGATAGGAAGTCTTTTCTTTCTCTGTGGGAACCCTGTCTTACCTGCCTTCCCAGTCCTTGTTTGATGTGTTTGGAGGAAAGCCCAGTCTGAAATCTTGATTCATTTTGCTTTTTTTTTGAGACAGGGTCTCACTGTGTAGTTCAGGCTGGCATTGAGCCCACTCAGAGGCCATGCTGATCTCAAACTTGAGATTCTTCTGTCTTAGCCTCCCTAGTGCTGACACTGCAGGCATGTGCCATCCATACCCATATATAACTTGTCCAATCTCAAATTTAAGCCTTGGGGTCTTTTTCTGTGACTGGGACTATGCCACATGTTTCATAGGTGTTTTCTAGTTCCCTGTAGATGCCCAAGTACCTATTACATCCTGAATCTGTAAATGAGGAAGCAGGCACAAAGGAGCTACGTGTTCCCCAGATGTAAAGTCCAATCGGTCTATCCTTCCACACTGACCTTTCTTCAGCATAGTGGCTCCAGTTGAGCCCTGCAAGCTGGGCAGGGCTTTCATTGTCCTCCAGCTCCTGCTGCCTGGCTGCTGGGGCACTGGCAGCTCAGAATGGGCAGACCCAATGCCTTGTATCAGTGCCCATTTTGAGAGAGAATTTTTTTTTTTTTTTTGTCTTTTTCTTTTTTTTATCGGTACCAGGGATCGAACTCACGACTGCCTGCTTGCAGGGCAGGCACTTATGCCGCTGAGCTAAATCCCCAGCCCCTTGAGAGAGAATTCTGATCTCATGGCATCTGGGTGTGACCCCACGATCACCGAGTTTAGTCCTGGCTAGTTGCTTGAAAAACTGGTGGTAAGGGACAGTTTTCAAATTGGTGGGGTAATCTGACCACTCTCAGCTGGAAGTGGACATCAACAGAGGGACAATGGAGAGTGAAGGGGAAGGAGTCGGTGTGGGTAGGGGTAGGTTGGGGCTTGTGCCGGATGCCTGCGAGCCAGGGCCAGGCCAGGCCTGTTCCCAGAGCTTCATGAGGCTGTGCTTTGAATTCTAATCTTTCATTCTTGGCCTTGGGCCTTGGACCTTGGACCAGCCCTTGGGAAACTGGAGGGGAGCGAGGCTACTTACCTTGCAGGCTGCCTGGTACTATAGCTCTGGTCCTGCTGCTCCCTTACTGTGACCAGGGCTCACATGTAAGCATGTTTCCTCATCTCCAAAATAGGGGATATTGACCAGGCATGGTGGCGCAGGCTTATAATCGAGCCTGAGGCAGGGAGAATACTCCCAAGTTCAAGGTCAGCCTGGGTTATGTAGTGAGACCCTATCTCAAAAAACTAAACAAAGGCTGAGGATTTAGCTTAGCAGCTCAAGCACTTGCCCGGTATGTGTGATGTTGTGCGTTTGATCCCAGGTACCAAATAAAATAAAATAAAATAACAATAAAGGAGAGGTTAGTGGTCTTCCCCCTGCTAGAATGTTAACTGGAGTTGTATTTTGGTACATTTTTTTCTCCTGGGCCTTTTCTGTACCTGTTGAAGGTAAAGCTGTGTGTTTGCCAGAGCAAGGAATGGAGAAATCAAGTGGTAGAATGCTAAGGTTCTAGTGGGGGTGGTTGGAGATGGAGGAGACCAGGGCCATAGAATTGGACAAGGTCTTGGGCTGGAGTCTCCTGAGTGTTTACCTGTGTATTGCTTATGTCTGTTTGTCTCTACCCTGTAGGAGGCGCTGAGCTTTTGGCTGCAGGCTGGAGTAGACGGGTTCCAGGTCCAGAATGTGGAGAACCTGATGGTGAGCTCCCCTCCCCATGTGAAACAGCACTCGACAAGGGCAGGGTCTCTGCCCAGGCTGGGTAGTGGTCCTGTGTTTTGACTACCCTTTTTCCCTGTAGGATGCATCCTCCTTCTTGGCTGAGTGGGAGAACATTACCAAGAGCTTCAGCAAAGACAAGTGGGTACTGGGTGCCCTGACTCTGTACTCCTGGGGCCTCAGTGTGTCCTGTCCCAAGCCAACCTAGCACCTGTTTTGCCTTTGCAGGCTCTTGATTGCAGGCACCAACTCCTCTGACCTGCAGCAGCTCCTGAGCCTCCTCGAGTCCACAAAGGATATGCTGCTGACCAGCTCCTACCTGTCGAGCTTCAGCCCTACGGGGGAGCACATGAAGTTACTGGTTACCCAGTATCTGAACAATACAGCTGGCCGCTGGTGTAGCTGGAGTGTGAGTGTGTGGGTGCACAGGGCTTTGGGGGCTTGGGTGTAGGAGGCCGGCTTGGGCTCACAGGATCTGTTCTATCTTACAGGTGTCACAGGCCGGCCTCTTGACATCCTTTGTGCCTGCTCAGCTCCTTCGGCTTTATCAGCTGCTTCTCTTCACCCTGCCAGGCACACCTGTGTTCAGCTATGGTGATGAGATCGGCCTGCAGGCTGTCAACCTTCCTGGACAGGTGCTGCTCACTTTGCTTAGACAGCTGGGAGGGTTTGGTCATCCATTATGATGGGATGGCTCTGGGCTGGCAGCTCATAGCCTGCCTTGCGCTGAAACTGGTTCCTGTTCCTAAAATTACAAGCGAGTCATTTTACTCTTGGTCACGTAGAATGATTAGGAGGTCTTGTTGGTTGGCCAGTTTCCTGAGTAGCTGGCACTGTAGGTTTTGCTGCCATATGTAGCTTGTTTTTAATGTCACTGCCTGAGTCTTTCATTCATCTGTTGGGTGGTGGCTGCTTTGTACTGGGCCCCAAGTCCTCCAGCAGCTCGTAGTTCAGTGGGGAGCCAGGGAGGTACAGGTGGGGAGTGGCTTGGAGGGGCAGTGTGGGCTTAGCTGCAGTGTTGGATCACACACTCAGGCAGCGGATTTTTATTTATCCCTGTGTGCTACACAAGAATGGATATGGTGGGGAGCAGAAGAGCTGAGGGCTGAATGAGTTTGGTAAGCAGATGTAATAAAGATGCCAGGTGCTGATAAGCTGAGCCAGAGAAGGCAGGGTGAGGCCAGGGTTGAGCTCTCGAAGAGTAAGCCAAAAACCTACTGAGCAGCCCCAGGAAGTTGGGAATAGGACTAGGGACAGTGTGTGTGTGTGTGTGTGTGTGTGTGTGTTGGGGAAGGGGCTCTGGAGCTGGGAGCCTCTGCTGGCATGGGAAGTGGCATGAGGTAGGGGCAGGATCCTTTGCAAGCTCTGTTGTCTGTTCCCAGCCGGCCGAGGCCCCGGTCATGCCATGGAATGAGCCCAGCCTTCCTGACACCTCAGGGTCTATGGGCAGCAACATGACAGTGAAGGTAAGAGCTTGGCTCAGCAGGGGGTGGGGTGTGGTGGAATCTGTACCTCAGGGCTTCACCCCTTCTGTGTTTTCCTCACCACAGGGCCAGAATGAGGACCCCTCCTCCCTCCTTTCTCTGTTCCGGAGACTCAGCGACCAGCGGGGGAAGGAACGCTCCTTGTTGCACGGTGACTTCCATGTGCTGTCATCCTCTCCAGGCCTCTTTTCCTATGTGCGCCACTGGGACCAAAATGAGCGATTCCTGGTGGTGCTCAACTTTGGGGATGTGAAGCTGTCAGCCATGCTTGGGGCCTCGGCCCTGCCTGCCAGTGCTAGGCTGCCGGCCCAGGCCGACCTGCTGCTTAGCACCCAGCCAGGCCGAGAGAAGGGTGCCAGTTTGGAGCTGGGTTCCCTGAGCCTGGGGCCTCATGAGGGGCTGCTGCTGCGTTTTCCCTATGAGGCCTGACCCTGCCCTAACCAGCCCCTCCCCTGCCTTTGAGATCTTGTTTCTCCCTCATTTAATGATTGCAGGCTATAGATGAAGCCCATTCAAATAAAGGTCACCCTGCTTGGTGAAGTCTTGTCAGCCCTCTGTCACAGCAAGAATTCCTTTCTCCTTCTGGATGAGTGGTCTCAGTTTCCTGCATCTGCCTCAGGTCCGGAGTCCTGAGGAAGGGTCTTAGGGACAACAGCAAAAAGTTAGTGTGGGCCGGCACCCTGGTGTTCTGGGCCCTGGAGTCTTGTACTGAGCCTGTGAAGTGGCCTGTTTCTGCAGGCCTGGTCCTCAGGAGGGAAGGTGGGGAGGGGTGGCCTCTTTTCACTCACAAGGGAGCTTGGGAAAGGCTCCAGAGGCCCTTCGTGCTGCTGGAGCATACTGAGTAGTCCACACATGCTGGGAATGGGGCCCAGACGTTAGTCTGCACTTGATCCCTAGAACCGCAGAACAGAGCCAGCAAAAATCCCTGCCTCTTCGGGACTTATCTCAAGGGAAGATGAGAAGTAAGAGAAATAGAGTGTAGAACATGGATGTAGTGCTCATGTGCCTGGTGGAGGAGGGGGCAGGCAGTTTCAGAGAAAGGGTGACGAGGCTGGCCAAGTCCTGAAGGGCACTGTGAGGGCAGGTGCTGGGAGCTCCTATATAGGGCTGAGGCTTGAGGGACTCACTCGCACTGAGAGGGAACTGGGATGTTTCTTCGGGATAGTCCCTCCTGGACAGCCCTGGACAGATGCTTCCTGGAGCTGAGTACAAGCGGCGCTCACCTGAGCTTCCTCAGTTCTGCATGGCTTTTAGTCTTTAGCCCTTCCCAGGACCAGGCTGACTTGAGTGTCCACTTCCCCAAAGCTCCTGCCTGGTGGCAGAAATCTCCAGGCAGACACTACCTGGAGTCCTTTTAGCTGAGGACTAAAGTGATAAGGTGGGTTGTCCTGCATTTATTTTGCAGGTGTTTTCCTAGGCAGTTACCTCATTTGTCTCAGCCTTGGGGTTGTTTGAGGCAGCCTTCCCTGGATGGAGGGTGCAGGGCATCCTGGTGTGAGGCCCAGGACTAGAGACCAGAAGATCAAGTCCTTGCTTGCTCACCTTTGCCTGCCTTGACTTCTGGCCCAGGAGGGAAGGAGTGCAGCCAAGTGCCCAATCCCCAGCCCAGCTCTGGCCCCTTCCGTGTATTGGTCTGGCTTTCTGCTGACTCTGTCTTTATCCTGTAGATAGGGCCTCTGCAGTTATACAGGACCTTGTACTTGCCAACCAGGCGCCAGCCCTTGCAGTTGTACTTTGCAGTTTGAAATTTCTGCTTTTTAAAAAGCTACAATAATAAAAGATACATAAAAGTTTGGCATTGAGTTTGCTCACATTGTTTCCATCTCAGAGATCTCCGTTCTCCCAAACTGCTTTGGCCTGAAGAGCTCTTCATTGTAAGAACATTTAGGAGAAGGTATGGCTGATTCCAGGTGGCTGGGCCAGGTGCCAGCAGTTGTGTGCTCACCACCTACTTTCGCTGAAGTTCTCCCCACCACCCGCCCTGCCCTGTCAGCCTCTGTCTTCTGGTTTGGGTCTGGCTATAGTTCCTTGTCTGTCTTTGCTTTCTGTGGTTTTAGCTACCTGTAGTCAGTTGAGGTTCAGGAAACCCTAAATGCAGGATTTCAGAAATGGACAATTCTCATTTGTGCTGTTCTGGAGGGTTTGATGAAACCTGTCACCCACCCCTTTGGCCAGGACATCCTTGCTGTCTGCATCAACTATCCACTGTCCCTAGCAGGTCAGCTGTTGTGGTATCACAGGGCTGTGTTCCAGTGGCCCTTGTTTCACTTAATGGTGGACGTAGTGCTGACAGGTTGAACATGATGGAGAAGCCTTGGTTGTTTCCTGTACATGAAAAAGGAACTGTTGGGCTCACAGAAGAGAAAACAACTGAGGTCTTTAGATAATGAGACTTTGAGAGCTGAGTGTGGAGGTGATGGTTTTCCTAGCACGCTGGAGGTAAAGCAGCATAATCCCAAATTCAAGCTCAGCCTGGGCAATTTAGTGACTTAGGCCCTTAAAAAAAAAAAAAAGGCTGAGGTAAGTTCAGTATGAAAACTTTTATTTTTTTTTTTGTCTTTTTGAGACAGTTTCACTATGCAGTTCAGGCTGGTCTTGGGCTCAATTTATAGCCCAGGAGGACCTCAAATTTGCAGCAATTCTTGTGCCTCAGCTTCCTGAGAGCTGAGATTACAGGCATGAGCCACACATCCAGCCATGTGAAGACTTTGGGTTCAATCTTCAGTACTTAAAAAATAACAGCTAGGCGTAGTGGTACACATGCCTATAACCCTAGTACTCAGGAGCCTGAGACAAGAAGATTATTTTAAGTTTGAGGCTAGTCTGAACTACATAGTGAGACTGTCTCAAAAAACAATGAACAAAAACTCCACTGAGAAACCACATTCATGTTAGCTTTACAGTCTTGTTCTAATTAATCTACTCTTATGATTATTGTTAATCTCTTGCTGGGCATTATTTATGGATTTAAGCCTTGTGTGTAGATGGGAGGAAGCCACTATATACAGCATGTATGTATATATGTGTATTTTAAAATATGTGTATTTTTAAATTTAAAAATTTTAAATATATGTGTATTTTTAATATACATCAGGAAGAGCGATGACCCCAGGGGTGCTGCTCTGCATTTTTATTCATTTCTATTTTGGGTTTCTCATAGAAGAGAAGCTATGTGATAGTTACGTTTGCGTGTCTCATTTACTTCATTCTGGTCTCAGGGTGTATCCCTTTGCCTAGGAATGACCCAAATTTACCCTTTCTGGCAGAGTGGCACTGTATTGTGGATAAATACCTCATTTTCTCCGTCCACTCATCTGGTTCCACAATTTAGCTACTAAGACTTGTGCTGCTGCAAACACAGCTGCACATGGATCACTGTGATGCGATGTCTTTAACTCTTTCAGGAAGATGCACAGAAGAGGTACAGGTAGTTGAGTGGAATTTCTTGTTTTAGTTCCTGAGGACTCTCTATAACTGATCTCCATGGTGGTTTTACTAGTTTACACCCCCACCGACAATGTGGAAGGGCTCCTTTTCCCCACAGCCTTGCCAGCATGTATTATTTGATTTCGTAATGACTTCTGTTTTTTCTGGGGTGAGGTGAAATCTCAGCATTTGAGTCTGCCTAATAAATCTCTTTATGCTGCTTAAAAACAAAATGTAAAGAGAACAGACTCAGGCTAGTGGAGGATAGAGCCTGTTTTCTCCTCATACTGGCCCGATGCTGGGTGAGCCCAGAGCATCCCTTTGACCCTCACATCCTGATGCACCTATATCCCTACCTCAATGCGAGCAGGAGCTGGGCCAGGAAAGCTCTGTCCTAAGCTCAGGAGCGGAACATGTGCAGGTCTGGACCCCAGTTGGAGGCCCCTGAGTTGGGAGGAGGGGCCCTTGCTGTGTTCCTGCTCGAATTGCCTCCATGGGAATGAACTCTGCTCCTCATTCCTGTAGCTGCTGCTACCACCTTTGCTGTTGTCTGGGCACCAGGTGACAAGAGTAGGTCCGGAGGAGCTGGGCAGTGGTCATGGCCACTTGCCGAGCCTGTTGAGGCCCTGGTTCCATTCCTAGCACTGAAAAACAAATGATCCAAACTCCTGAGTGGAGTTCCAGTGTCCAAAGAAGGATGTGATTGAAATTCCAGACAAAGAGAGCCAGGGCTGGCTTGGACTCCACTCTCCTGGCACTGGGATGGAACCTTCGGGCTGGGTCACACAGGGCCTGTGCTCTCACCCCAGGCCGCTGGTTGATGCACAGGGGCCCAGTCTCTAATGTGCAGGGGTCCCAGCCAACTTCCTGGCCTTGGACTGAGGAGGGGCTGGTGTCTTCCTCTCCAGAAACCTGGAGCAGCCATGATGCTGGATTTTGAGGGGGACAAATAGTGATAGCCCCAAGTGGAGGAGATACTGGGCCCAGAGGGATCAGGGATGCTGCTCGGACTTGCCCAGCATAGTATGCCATGTACTGCCACTAGGTCTAGGTGGAATGGAGGATGGGATGAGCTCAGTGTTGGGCAGGTCGGAGGAGAGGTGACTACAGCCAGGGCTGTACCAGCGGTACCCACAGTGTCCCCCATCTGAGTCTATTCACCACCCCTTCCTTCCTCAGCAGCAAAGCCCAGGGCAGCCACAGTTCAGGTGCATTCAGCTGGGCCTGAGGGCACTGGTGAGAGTGAGGCCCTCCATCTCGCCCTGAGTGGTCCCATCCTGGAAGTCTGGGCTCTAGGTTGCCATACTCTTTAGGGAGCCATAGGTGGTCTGGCCATGTGTGGTACAAGAAGTGACGCTGCAGAGGCCCAGGTAGAGGCCGCCAATAGGTTGCAGAGGTGGGAGAGCGGAGACTGCAGGCTGCAGAGGTGAGCAGTGGAGGTGTCCAGCAGAGTGGTGGGAGGGGGGTGGCCTAACAGCAGGGCAGCTAGGCTGTGACCCTGGGGCCCACACTGGACAAGGACCAGGAGCAGGAAGACAGGACAAGTAGCAGGAGTAGGAAAGCAGGATGTCAGGGAGCGCAGGACTGAACCTGTGGACGCGCACAAGCCAAGGCCTGAGGGCTTCTCTGGGCACTTGTGGAGAGGAGGTGTGGAGGAGGAGGAGGTGTGTGTGTGTGTGTGTGTGTGTGTGAGAGAGAGAGAGAGAGAGAGAGAGACTGAGGGTGGAACCCAGGGCCTTCGCATTGAGTTACATCCCCAGACCTTTCTTATTTTTTAATTTTTTTTGTGTGTGTGTTTTTCATTTTTATTGGTATCGGGGATTGAACTCATGACTGCCTGCTTGCAAGGCAGGTGCTTATGCCACTGAGCTAAATCCCCAGCCCCTTATTTTTTAATTTTGAGACAAGGTCTCACTCAGTTGCCCAGGCTGGGCTTAAACTTGTATTCCTTTTGGCTCAGCCTCCCAGGATGCAGGGATAATAGGTGTGTACCACCATGTCTGGTGGATTTTTATGACTTTAAGGGGTTTATGCCTGTCTTTAGATAGTATCAGTTGGTGTACTTGGTTTTCTTTTTTATTTTATTTTACTTTGTTTTTGGTACTGGGAATTGAACTCACAAT